GATGAATTAGGAACAATTCACATGGAACCAATCCAAGATGCACCTGTTGGTAAAGCATCTCCAGCCCACATTCCCAAGCAATCAGATCATTACTGTTTTCATTCTTTTCTGAGGCCTCTCAGCTTCCCAGGAGAAAATGCTGGGCCAGGAGGGTTTTTCAGAAGATCTCACGGTGGCAGGGCCGGAGCTCACAGGAAAGGCCTCTCTGTGTCCCGCAGGGTGTTTGTGCTGCTGCTGACCGTGGTGTCCATCCTGTGGATCCCCCTGGTGCAGGCTGGCCAGGGTGGGCAGCTCTTCATCTACATCCAGTCCATCAGCTCCTACCTGCAGCCGCCCGTGGCCGTGGTCTTCATCCTGGGCTGCTTCTGGAGGAGAGCCAACGAGAAGGTACCGGGCCGTGCTGGCCCTGCAGCCCTGCTGGGCGCTGCCGCAGCGCTGAGCCCTCCCTTGCCTCCCCAGGGCGCGTTCTGGGGGCTGCTGCTGGGGCTGCTGCTGGGTGGGGTGCGCCTGGTGCTGGATTTCATCTACCCCGAGCCGCGCTGCGGGCAGCCCGACGGCCGGCCCGGCGTGGTCAGGCACATGCACTACCTCTACTTCTCCATGGTGCTGGGGGCCACCACCAGCCTCACCGTGCTCCTGGTCAGCCTGGCCACCGAGCCCCCGGCCCCACAACAGGTCTGTGTGTGTCCCCTGCGTGTGTCCCCTCTGTGTGTGTCCCCTGCGTGTCCCCTGCGTGCTCCCTCAGCCCTCGATGCCTCCCTGGGTGCCCCTCACTGCATCCCCGGGGGGAAGCAGCTGCAGATGGGAGCCCTGCTCATTGCTGGGTGTGGGCACACCTGGGGCACTGAGCCCTCCTCTGCTGCAGCCCCTTTGCTGCTCCCTCTGCTCTGGGGCCCATGAATCCCACCCTGGACACTGGTCCACAGTAGATTGCACCAGGAGCTGCTGTTGAGTTCAAGGGTGTGTGTTCCATCCATGACAAATTGGCCTTTTCCCCCTCTATTTCCCAAGAATTTCCAGGTCTGGGTCATCTTTACCAGCTCTCTTACTAACTTAGCAAGGAAACATTTTTACTCACAGAAGGAGAAGCCCAGTGCAGGGAGCACCTCTCCCCTGGAGCAGTTTGTGCTCCTTTGGCTGTTTTCTGTAGGTGTCCTGGTGCTGAGGCTGCAGGAAGGCCCTGAGAGCAGAAAGGAGGGGCAGGGGGGCTGCAGAGCTCACACAGCAGCTCATGCTATTGCTCCAGGACAGGACTAACCCTGAACCCAGAAATGCCCAGCAAGGGAGGTGCCTCCAGGTGTCTGATCAGCCCAGGGCTCACCTGCCCTCCCTGTAACAGCTTCTCCTCATCTCCAACCTGAATCTTTCCAGCTTTGTGTGGTGCTCATCCCTCTCTATCCACACTGCCATTGAGAACATCCCTCTATAATGAATCCTTTAGATATTTGAAGAAAATAACCCCTATTTCCCACCTGCTGTCTCTCAGCATCCCCACTTCAAGCCAGCCCTCCCTGGCCACAATTTCTGTTTCATTTTGCCCCTCCCTGACCTGTCTGTGCCCAGGGACAGTCCTGCACAGAGCTGTCCCCTCGGCACAGACCTCACAGACTCATTTTTGGGGGTGGAGGCCAAGCAGGAGCTGCCCAGAGGATCCAGCCCTGGCAGAGTCCGCAGAGCTGCCCGGGGCAGGGGGGGATTCTGGGTGCTCTGAGCCCCCACATGGCTCCTGAGCAGCCCTCATGTGGCTCCTGAGCAGCTCCCTCGGTGCCAGTGGGTGCTGAGCAGCCCCCTTGGTGCCCAGTGGGTGCTGAGCAGCCCCCTTGGTGCCCAGTGGGTGCTGAGCAGCCCCCTTGGTGCCAGTGGGTGCTGAGCAGCCCCCTTGGTGCCAGTGGGTTCTGAGCAGCCCCCTTGGTGCCAGTGGGTGCTGAGCAGCTCCCTTGGTGCCAGTGGGTGCTGAGCAGCCCCCTTGGTGCCCAGTGGGTTCTGAGTAGCCCCCTTGGTGCCACAGATCCACCGGCTGACCTGGTTCACCCGCGGGGATGCCCCGGCCGGGCAGGAGCTGGCAGCAGCCGGGCCTGGCCCCGCCAAGGAGCAGCTGGAGCTGAGCCCCGCTCCCGAGAGCGGCCCTGAGGCCAGCAAAGGTCAGTGACCACAGCCCCGGGGGCTCCCAACGGCCTGCAGGACAGGGAACCTTAGAGCTCCTTCCTCTGAACTCTGGAGATTCGGGGTGTGCTGAAAGAATGACAGAATTAAAGACCAGAGAATGGGCTGAGCTGGAGGGACCCCCAGGATCAGCCAGCCCAGCCCTGGCCCTGCCCAGACCCCCAACAACCCCACCCTGGGCATCCCTGGAGAGCTCTCCAAGCCCTCCTGGAGCTCCGGCAGCCTCGGGGCTGTGCCCATTCCCTGGGGAGCCTGGGCAGTGCCAGCACCCTCGGGGGAAGAGCCTTGCCCTGAAATCCATCCCAAACCCCCTGGCCCAGCTCCAGCCATGTCCCAGAGCAGAGCTGGGAGCTGCCCCTCGGGAGGAGCTGCAGGGCACAGTGAGCTCTGACCTCCATCTCCTCTCATCCAGGGCCAAAAAGGCTTTACCTGACATTGCACCTAAGCAGGAGCTCAGTTTCTTTTCCAGCTCTGGGTGGCATTACAGAAGCTTCAAACAAAGGAGCTGGGTGGGATACGGAGCCATGGCCGCTGTCCCATGGCTGGTGCTGTGGCACCTGCTCCCAGAACTGGCTGGAAAAGGGGAGGGTGGAGGAAGACACAAAAATGTTGATGAAACTCCCTCTCTGTTTTGCAGCAGTGTTCTCTGATCAGCTCTAGCAGCAGGGAGAGCCCTGGCAGAGCAGTGAGGGAGGATGTGCACGTTTTAAAGCTCGTGCACGTTTTAAAGCTCGAGCCTGTCAGGATTGGGCACAGGCCTGTGCAGAGCTGCCCGTGCATTGCAGCCAGGATTCCCTCCCCTGTTTGTGCCAGGCTCAGCCCTGTTTGGTACCGTGTCAGCTTTGCTGCTGTCCCTTGGTCTGTGACAGGCTGTGGTGAGTTAGGGAGTCACGGTGCAGCTCCCTGCTGCTGGGCAGCCCCACACTGTGGGACACCAGCGTTGCCTTCCAGCATCAATGATGTGCCCCGAGGCTCTGGGGAGTCCAGGTGTGGCAGGGATGGGCTGGAGCAGCGCTCACCCGGGGGCACCAAGCAGCTTCAGCTCGGGTTTGGGGTTTGGGTGATGGTGACCATGGCTGCTGGGAGAGCAGGAGCTGAGCTCAGAGCTGCAGGGAGGATGGGCCTGGTGCTGCAGGGGTGCCAGTGCAGAGCACTCAGTGAGTGAGCCCAGGGCTGTGTGTGTGTGCACCACACCTGCACTGCAGCACCAGGCTCCTTTCCCATCTCCTGTTGCAGGTGCAGCCGAGGCCAAGGGCAGCTCCAAGCTGCTGAGCACTGTGCTGTGGCTCTGTGGCATGGAGCGCAGGCAGGAGGGGGCTGAGAGCCTGCCCAGGGCCGAGCCCCTGCCCGTGGCGTCCCTGGAGGAGGAGCCCCTGGTGAAGCACATCCTCAACATCAACCTGCTGCTCTGTGTGTGTGCTGGGGTCTTCCTCTGGGCCTACTTCGCATAGCCAGGGGGAGGCCGGGCACACGCCATCAGCTAATCCTAACTGGTGTAAATATTAATGATTAGCAGAGGGTTAATGTAATTCTTAATGCTTTCTAAATTTTATTTCTTTATTTAAGACATTTTAAAGACGTAATATTTTCCTTATTTCTAATGGGGGCCTGGCTGTGCCTGGGCCGAGCGCTTGGCACTGGCACTGTCAGACCCCACCTGGCACCAACCAGCTGAGGAAGGTTGGTTTGGTTATTTTAAATATTTAATTTTGCTCTTTGGCCTTAGAGCACTGCCTGGAATTCAGGAAGCCTGGAATCTCTTCTTATTTATGCCTCTATAACCAGCTACAACCACTTGGGTCCCCTTTGGTTCAGCTCCTCTGGCCTTGGGGGACAGCAGTGACCCCTCGAGTGCCCAGAGCAGAGCCAAGGGCTGTTCTCTGGGCTCTGCTGTGCCTCTGGCTCAGCTGTGCCCATTCAGCTCCTTCCCTGTGTGCAGTGGGTGCTGCTGGCCCTGTCTGGGAGCTCTGGCTGAGGTACCACCACTGGCACTCCAATGGCAGCACCAGCACCAGCATGGAAACTGCCCCACAGCTGCTGCTGGAGCACCTGCAGGACCTACACCAGCAAAACCACCAGGTGTGCCAGGACAGGGGCACCCAGGACCAGCCCCTCATGGCCTGGGCAGCCAGAGCCCTTCTGGGAGTGCCTCAGTGGAGAGCCCTGGGCTGGGCACCATCCCTGGCCCTGGCCCTGGGGCTGGGCACCATCCCTGGCCCTGGCCCTGGGGCTGGGCACCATCCCTGGCACTGGGCACCATCCCTGGCCCTGGGCCTCATGCAGCTGCAGAGAAACATTAAAGAGTGAGATTTGGTCCCTGCCTGCCTGGAGTCTGTGGGACTGGGGGGCTGCCAAGACCTCTGGGCCCCATGGCTCTCCTCCAGGTTGGAGGAGGCTCCTCCTGGAGCCCCTCAGCTGCTCTGGCTCCCTGCTCCCCTCCCCAGATCTCAATAAACACTGCAGGGTCACCTGGAAACCTGCAGCAGCCCACAGAGTCAGGAACTGCTCCTCTTAAAGCACAGAAAGGGAATTGGTCTGGGGGAACCTTTCTGAGACTGTGAAACGCTGCTGGAACCCCTGGGGGAGAGAGGCACTGACAGTCTGGGGGATAAACATCAAAATCACAGGACGGGGGCCTGTGGCTCTTCAAACTGAATCTGCAGTTACAAAGATTTGTTACAGGGCTGCTGTGGTGACAGAGGAAGGTCTCACAGTGCTCCCACTGAGGTCCTTAAGGGAAAACCAAGCTGAGCAGTCAGGGACTCCACAGTGCAGGGGAGTGCTGTGACCTTCAGGACCCAGTGGAAGCCACAAAACTAGAATAAAGATGCCTTAAGTTGACAAAAAACAATCTTTAATTTTATAAATGTTCACTCAACTTCTGAATCCAAACAGCTGTTTCAAAGTTCTTTCAAAATTCAACCGTTTTCAACAAAAGCACAAACCCCATTTCCACGGTTTCCTCGTGAAACAGTTGCCAGTTGCACATGAACAAAGCAGGTTAATACAAATAACTATGAAATCAGGGTAAGTACTGCTCCTAAGTAGCAATGAAATGATTAAAGAGACAGAAGTTCCTCCTACAGCACGACAGTCCTTCAAGGCACTGGATGCATCCACAGTTCCACAGGTGACTGAGAACCAGCAGTCACCACCAGCACTGGGGCAGGGTTTGGTTCATGGCTTGAGGGGAATCTGCAGCAAATCCGAGAGGGAATGTCCCCTGGGAGAGAGGGAATGTCCCCTGGGAGAGAGGGAAGGTCCCTTGGGAGAAAGGTCCCTTGGGAGGCAGCTCCTGGGACGGGCTAAGAACTACAAAGAACCTCTAATGGTGCCGTGAGGATTATTTCCCTAATACAGACATGCACTTTAAATAACTAATAACGTTCTGCTTCTTATTCTTTTGGAATTTCTGCTCATACCACCTGTATCAGCACTGACCACGCTTCCTAGGCGAGTTCCTGTAGGAATTCATTCCTTCCATCCAAGAGTTTGAAAACCGTTGTCCAGACCCAGATCATTAAACTTCTTCTGAGGGCGAAACCTGGCCAAAGGCTGGGCTCCGTTTTCTGAGAGGTCTGCTCCAAGCTGGGCCAGGCTGGAGCTGGGTGTGGCGGAGGCCCCAGCTGTGCCCAGCTGTGCCCTGCTGGCAGAAGAAGCCTTTCCCTGGAAGGTCTGGGGGTTTTCCCCCGCAGGAGCGGGAAGGGGCGCAGAGCGCGCGGTCACAGCGCCGTGCTCTCCGTGTCATTGTCAATGTCCAGCAGCAGGTGGGTGTGCAGCTCTCTGCCCAGCTCTGCAGGAGGCTCTGGAGGAGGGTTTGCAAGTGGCTCTGGAATACTGGAATTAGAGTCTGCACAAAAAGGGAACAGCAGTTTAGCAGCCGGGCCAGGGCCAGCTCACTGAGTCGGGGCTTCCTGGGCATCTCCTTGGGCAGAGAAGGGAGAGCAAAGATCAACGAAGGCTCTGGAACAGAGCTGGCCCCTGGGGCATGCAGTGCTGAGCCCAAGTGAACAGCTCAGACTGCTCCTCCTACACAGCCTGGGCCAGGCCTGGGCAGGAACACAAACCCACTCCTTCCTGAAGGAGGGAGGACACCGAGCCTGGTTTAGGGTCAGATTCCCCAATGCCCCTGAGAGCTACTCTGGACTTTCATGTCAAAACACTCAGCAAAATAATCTGGCACCCAAATCATCCACCAGGGAACACCACCTGTGACTCTGAGAAGCAACAGGAACAAGGATGGTGTCAGAAGGAGGCAGAAGTTATTTACACCAAGTGCAGATTAAACCTCTCTCCTGTGTGAACAGGGCATGCCATGGTCTTTGCCTCTTCTGAGGAGAGAAGGATTTTATTCAAGGTGTCAAAAAAGGATCTCTGCTGCATCTCTGGTGACTGACTGCCCTGGCAGCTGGAATTATCAGACCAGAAAAACCCCCAGCAGCTCAAAAAAGGGTGACTGAAAATCTTGTCAGGATTTTGGAAAGCTGATTTACAATGTGCCATGACATCCCTTACTGCAGTCCAGCAGCTGCTCCACATAGGAAATAATTTAGATCACTTAGATCAACAAAAAATCCAAATAAATGCCTTGTTTTCAAGCACAGGAGGTGCAGACAGGCATCCTAGAGAGACTGGGACTTGTAACTCAAGCATGAAAACCTGAAGTTAACCCAGAAGTTACTGCAGAAAAGCTCAAGTTGAAGGTTTCTGAGCTAAAGACCTGGAGGAGGGGAAGGCAGCCCCTGAGCCCCCCAGCCTGCAGGGATTTGGGATCCTGCAGAGAGCAGCTGCAATCCCACCCTGCTCTGGCCTGGCATGAGCAGGAGCTTCAGCCACAGGACCCCAGGACGGTTTGGGCTGGAAGGGACCGTAAATCCCATCCCACCCCACCCTCTGCACGGGCAGGGACACTGCCAGCAGCCTGAGCCCCTGGAGCAGCCGCTCTGGAGGCCGTGACACGGGGAGGGAGCGCTGGTGGCACAGGACAGGGCAGTGACAGTGGGCACAGCGGCAGCCCCTGCACGAACACGGCAGCTCTGGGTGTGTGCACAGACACAGCACGAGGTGAGCGTGGCCAGACACACCAGGAGCTTCACATTCTGCTCTCCAGGGCTTAGTGGGTTAATGGAGCAGGGCAGCCCCTCTCTGGCCATGCCGGGGACACACACAGCAGGGCACTGGGGGGGTTAGTAGTTAGCACACACATCATTAGCAATTAGCAATTAGCAACAGTGTCGGCCAATCAGGGGCCTGTTCCTTACCATTGCACTTGCCAATACAGTTCCTACTGAATGCTGGTCAAACATCTGGATTATTTAATAAAACCTTTGATTAGAATATTCTAGGGCTTCTTACTTGAACACCATAAATAGAATTTGAGGCATTACTAAAGCCCAGTACATGGACAAAGGAGTTAACAGTGTCCTGAGGACAGCTCAGGATTCCTGTTCAGGGATCATTATGAGGTTTGCAGGCACCTTAATTTTGTTCCCTCATTCCACTTGTTAAGGTTCAAATTAAAACCAGCAGCTGCACGTTGTGAATTAGTGAGTCTGTAAGTGCTTGTATGTGCAGGTGTGAATATTAGAGCAGACACTCTTATGTGACAGGTGGTGGTGTTAATTCAGATTATTAATGCTTTAAAAACACATTGATCTGGAAAAGGTGGATGCTTTAGCACGGAGTGTACTGCTGGAGGTGAGCCTGGGTGTCACTTCAATCCTCCCAAGGGGTTTTTAGCTGAACAACCTGGATCTTCTAGGTCCCTTCACCAGTTTTGGAGAGAATCCTCCCTCAGCAGCTTTCCCTTCCCAGTTTTCCTGCATGGCAGCTCCCATGCTGTGTTTACAGCACACACCTGGGCCAATCTGCTCTGCTTTGCAGCCCCCTCTGGCAGGTGCCTGCCGTGCCCAATTCTAATGAAGCAGCCCCAGCTGGATGTTAATTACAAGAGAAGGATTTCTCCCATTACACTGGGGTAAAACAAACCCTCCCTGTCTGCTGTCATTGAAGCAATTTCCTCAGAACCAGGAAAACCCTAAAATGAAAATAAATATGGTCAAACTGTGAAACACTTGGAAATTTAGATTAAGTCTTTCCTTAGTTTGACTCATTAGCACAGCTGCTGCTGTTAACTTCATTGGGAAGTGCTGGCAGCATTCAGAGCCACTTCTGACTCCAGCTTGGGAATAAATTATCCCCGTATTTTAAACATACTGACAAAAGTACAATCAGAAGTCAGTTATTTTAAGAATAAAAGCTACTTTTTAGTTGGTTAAGCAGCTCATTTACTGCAGGTTTCTCCATGGAACCCCACAATGGGCAGGGACACCTCCCACTGTGCCAGGTTCCTCCAAACCCCACCCAACCTGGCCTTGGCCCCTTCCAGGGAAGCGGGGCAGCCTCCAGGCCACCTCTTTCTCCAATTCACAGAAAGCCCAAAGCTGAGTGATTTGCAGCCTGGCTTCCCAGTGCCACACTGATTTCAGTGTCCTGTCCTGCTGCAGCTCAGGCAGCTGTGCCACAGCTCAGGGGCTCAGGCAGCAGCACCCAGGGGCTCCCACCCCAGCAGGGGCATGAGAGGGGTGGCCATGAGTGGGGCTGGGCAGGCAGAGCCCCAGGGAGGCTGGCAGCCAACCTGCCCCAGTGCAGCTGCTCTTCTGCCATGGGTTTGGTCACATCTGCCTGGATTTTGCCAAAAACCCCAAGTGGTTAAAAATGACTGCAAAGCTAAAGTGAGAGCTACATTAGAATGTAACCACAAACCACCAAGTTGTAGGAAAAGTCGTATTTGTCTGCAGTGAGGAGAACAAAGCTGCTGGAAATGGGTCACCCATCACACCTGAGTTGGGGATAACTCTGGGGGCCTGGTGTGAAGAGTTAATTCTTTCCAGGGATTTAAAGAATAACTGAATGCTCACAGTCCTATCACAGCTGAGCAGCAGAGCCTTAAACCCTCTTGCAGGCAGAATGCTATGGAGGGATGAGGTACAGAGCTGGCAGAGCACAGTTCCTACAGAGGGTGAGGACACAGGGCACAGAGCACAGCTCCAAGCACACGTCTGAACTCAAGCTACAAACAGGAGCAGTTGAGCTGCAGGCTCTGTGAGTACAAACCTTATTCGCAGTAACCATCCCCACCTGTGAAGGCATTGGGGTAGAGCTGTTAGGCAACAGAATTGATACTCTGCATTCCAACTCATTAGGCTAATTCTAGAGAAGCTGCAGTGTCATGGGAAAGTTCCAACCATTATTAATTATAAGTAGATTTAAAAGCATTAGTCTCCCACGTTCAGTATCTCTCCCTTCAGAATTTCCCAGAATAAGCAGTGACTCAGCAGGAAAACATTCCAGAATCTGCTGGTTTTGAATGGCCTCAGCAACTACATTTAAAAAAAATAAACTTTATTAAAGTCACATTATCCCAACCAAATTGGTAACTACAAGCTTCATGAAGCTTCTGTGAGAAGACAAAAGTTTCTCTTTACTTCGTGGCTGTCCTAAAACAAGGACTGCACTTGAGGCTCTATAAATACTGACCTAAGAAATACAGTTTAATACAGCTGATTCTTCAGCTTCTGGATGTCCAACTTAAATGCACATCAGAAGGCTCTGTTCTCATAAGGTAAAACATTCTCTGCATGTTTTGCCTACTAGAACACGTGTCAGTGACCACTCATGCCCTTTTCTTATCTCAGTATGTGCTGAAATCCACCATCCTTGGCTACATCTTCTCCCTCCTCTAAATATTTGCTTTTTTGGCAACAGATGTCCAAGCAGAATTGACTGCCAAGATGCTGAGCTGGAGCTGCTGTCACAGTGTTAAGCTTCCAAACAGGAATAAAAAAACCAACAAAAGTTCACCTCCACTTGCCCCCAAACACTTCTGCCTGGGGAAGGATACCCTCGTGTGCAGAGCAGCTGGGTGGGCACTAACTGGGTATGAGCTGTGAGTATTTTAACTGAGATTTGTGCTTCCCCATGACCCCCACTCCATCACTGCTTTGGGCACTAACTGGGTATGAGCTGTGAGTATTTTAACTGAGATTTGTGCTTCCCCATGACCCCCACTCCATCACTGCTTTGGGGTGGGCACTAACTGGGTATGAGCTGTGAGTATTTTAACTGAGATTTGTGCTTCCCCATGACCCCCAGTCCATCACTGCTTTGGGCACTAACTGGAAATGAGCTGTGAGTTCTTTAACTGAGATTTGTGCTCCCTGGCTCCCACCATGACCCCCACTCCCATCACTGCTTTGGGCACTAACTGGGTGTGAGCTCTGAGTTCTTTAACTGGGATTTGCGCTCCCTGGCTCCCACCATGACCCCCACTCCCATCACTGCTTTGGGCACTAACTGGGTGTGAGCTGTGAGTTTTTTAACTGGGATTTGCACTCCCTGGCTCCCACCATGACCCCCACTCCATCAATACTTTGGGGTGGGCACTAACTGGGTGTGAGCTGTGAGTTCTTTAACTGGGATTTGCACTCCCTGGCTCCCACCATGACCCCCACTCCGTCGCTGCCTGGTGCCCGGCCCTCCCCAGCAGGCAGCAGCCAGGGCAGGGGATGCACTCACCTGTGACTATTTTTGAGGCCGTTGGGGAGGCGTTTGCCGCGGTGCCGTCTGCAGGCGGCTGCGAGGGCGGGTGCGGCGGGGGCGGCACGCTGGGTCTGTTCCTGGGCTTGGGCACGGGCCGGGGCCGGGGCAAGGTGCCCCCCTGGGGCGGGCAGGGCTCGGGGGGCACGGCGGGGGCGCTGCCCGGGTGCTTGGCCAGCGGGGGCGTGTCGGGAGGGGTGGGCGTCTGCGGCGGGGGCATGGACGAGGAGCAGGGGGGCTGCTCCACACCCTGCTCACCAGGAGATGCTTGGCTGCTGCTGCTGCCCTTGGGCTGCAGGGGAGGAGTTGCCTGTGCTGGGGGCTGCGGGGGTGGGTGGCTGGGAGCCTGGAGAGGGGACAGGCTGCTGGAATATCTGCGAGGGGCAGAAACCTGGCAGGGAGAGGGGCTCTGGGCTGCTCCTGGGGATGCGTGTTGAGCAGGAGGAGAGGAGCTTCTGGCCGGGGGCTTTGGAGAGACAGAAGGAGGCTGAGCAGCTGGGGAAGAGCTTTGGCTGCCTGGCTGCCCCGGGGGAGGGTTGGCTGGCTTGGGGGGGGCTGGTGCAGGCTTCTTCATAGCTGTGGAGAGAAGAGGGGACATGTCAGCATCAGGGACAGGCAGTGACAGGACATGGGGAATGGCTTCCCTCTGCCAGAGAGTGAGGTTAGATGGGATATTGGACAGGAATTGCTCCCTGTGAGGGTGCTGAGGCCCTGGCACAGGGTGCCCAGAGCAGCTGGGGCTGTCCCTGGATCCCTGGCAATGTCCCAGGCCAGGCTGGACAGGGCTTGGAGCAGCCTGGGACAGTGGAAGGTGTCCCTGCCCATGGCAGAGGACAGAACAAGATGAGTTTTAAGGTCCCTTCCAACCCAAAGTATTTTGGGATTCTAGGATTCCAAACCAAGCTCCCAAAGAAAACAATCAGCAGCACAAAAAATCCCCAGCTATGTTATCAAAATGAAGTGGTGCATTATCAAGTACAAGCATTTACCAATCAATAGCTTTTGAGAGTTTGTTAAACAGCACTGGTGACACTGTCACCATTCACAGAGTCCAAAAGCCACAGCTGCTTTTCAGCCAGGCCCTGGGGACAAGCCAACAGATCAAACTGCTGTCTGCATAAGGGCAGAGATGCTGACAGAGTAATTTCAGCAGCATTTCTGCAGTACCTCAAGGCTTGGAACACAGGGGCTTGGACAGCAATGAACACACACCTCTCCTCAGGGCGTGGGGACTGGGACCAGCAGCGTTCTGGGGCTGGCTGACCGAGAGCTGGGAGCTGCTGGGCGCTGCCTGGCCCGGGGCCGGGCCTGCCTGGCCGTTCCTCACCGGGGGAGGAGTGGCTGCACTCGCGCTCTCCTTGCACTTGGAGGTGCTGCAAACAGAAGAGCCCACGTTAGAGATGGGTGTAGCCCTGATGCCTCGTCTGGCTCGGCTGCAGCTGCTCCCTTACAAACCGTGCTGTGGATCAGATAGAGGAAACAGTTTTCATGGAAAGTGTTGTCAGGCCCTGGCACAAGTGCCCAGGGAAGGGGTGGGGTCACAGCCCCTGTTAAAAACACGTGGATGTGGCCCTTGGTGGCCCAGCGGTGAATGCTGTGCAGTGCTGGCTGATGGGGATGATGGAGGATGAGCCAGCTGAGGTGGCTCTGGGCAGGGTCCCTCCTGTGGCCGTGCACCTGCAGGCTTCTCTCACTGCTTTGCATTTAGAGTCACCTGCAGCAATTCAGCCCTCAAAAGGACTGGCTTTATTCACTTCCACTAGTACTTTGTTAACAGCACCTGGAGAAACAGGGACTGCAAACTGTGAGTACTTGCACAGAGCCTGTGCGGATTTTTAAGTGCAACTTTCAGACATGACCCCCGAGGTTTCATTTCAGCTGCCTCTGCCACAAAAACCATCTGTGGAGGAAATACTGGTGTGCAGGGGATTTCCAAACGAGCAGGTTTTGTAAATATGTCACCTGAGAACGAGCTCTGTGCACAAGAGTCAGTGCTGCATCAAACCCCACGGTGGGGCTTCACCCTGAGGCTGACATTTGGAGGCACTGCAGGCTTCACACGTGGTTTGTCACAGCTCTCAGAGCACTGAGGAGCTGCCAGCAAAGTGCTGCTTCCACCCCTCACAGGAGGAACTCGGGCTGCTGCAATTAGCCTTGGAGCTCAGGGACACAAGCACAGAGCTTCAAGAGAAATTAAATAGCAAAGAGCCTGTGTACCTACTTGTCCTAAAGGAACCAACCCTTAAATATGATAAACTGACTGCCAGTTCTCTAGTAAGCAAGGCTGCTCATCACTAACACCTGCTACAGACAAATAAACAAAACAAGACATAAACAGATAACAACAAACAAGAAACAGCAAACAAGACTAACAGGTTTCTGGTATTGTCACTATAAGTTTTGCTCTTTCAGCAGCAAACTGGTATCACCTGTGTGCACATCTCCAGAACATTAACCTGGGAGGGTCAGTGTGGGCAGCAGAAACAGAGTGTATTTTTCATCATCATTTTTTCCCCCAAGAATTCTAGTGTATTAGAAGATGAGCTCCAGAACAGACAGAACTGTGCATGTTATATTAGGAGATGAATTGCAGAACACCCAGAACCATGGATGCTATTTTGTAAGACCAATTCTGTGTTGTAGAACCAATCCTGTGTGTTATTTCAGAAACCCAATTGTGCAGCCATACCCGTGGCAGGAGAGCTCCTGCAGGGCAGTGCTGCCCTCACCTGCAGGGCACATCCCAGGGGCACAGGTGACACCAGGGCAGTGCTGCCCACAGCTGCAGGGCACATCCCAGGGGCACAGGTGACACCAGGGCAGTGCTGCCCTCACCTGCAGGGCACATCCCAGGGGCACAGGTGACACCTGCAGGGCAGTGCTGCCCTCACCTGCAGGGCACATCCCAGGGGCACAGGTGGCACCTGCAGGGCAGATCCCAGGGGCACAGGTGACACCAGGGCAGTGCTGCCCACAGCTGCAGGGCACATCCCAGGGGCACAGGTGACACCAGGGCAGTGCTGCCCTCACCTGCAGGGCACATCCCAGGGGCACAGGTGGCACCTGCAGGGCAGTGCTGCCCTCACCTGCAGGGCACATCCCAGGGGCACAGGTGACACCAGGTCACTGCCAGAGCTGCTGCCAAGCCGCTGCCAGTGCAAGCCGTGCCTCTTACCTGGCATCCTCAGTGCCTGGCGCCGGGGGCTGCTCTGCTGGGGCAGCAGAGGGAGCGGGGCCAGCCCCGGGGCCGGGCTCAGCCCCCGAGGGCGGGCAGGGCTCGGCCCCTGCGGGCTCGCAGGGCGGCAGGGGCGGCTGGAAGGCGGGCGAGGTGAGCTTTCTGCTCACTGTGCCACACCGCCGCGGGGTCACAGACAGCTCCAGCACCTTCACACCAAAGCTACAGAGAGAACAGAGAGTGAACACAGCAGGCGGCCACCCCGGGGCTGCTGCAGCAGGACTCGGGGTGGCCCACCCCCAGACAAACCCCACATGCAAAGCAGCGACGAGGAACAGCAGGCTGCACAACACCACGGGGTTAGAGCCTGCACAGAGCCTGCACTGGCTGCACAACACCACGGGGTTAGAGGCACCTCTGAGCCTGCACAGGCTGCACAACACCACGGGGTTAGAGCCTGCACAGAGCCTGCACTGGCTGCACAACACCACGGGGTTAGAGGCACCTCTGAGCCTGCACAGGCTGCACAACACCACGGGGTTAGAGCCTGCACAGAGCCTGCACTGGCTGCACAACACCACGGGGTTAGAGCCTGCACAGAGCCTGCACTGGCTGCACAACACCACCATGTTAGAGCCCCCAGTGGCTGCACAACACCACCATGTTAGAGTCCCCAGTGGCTGCACAACACCACGGTGTTTGTTAGAGCACCCACTGAGCCCCCAGTGGCTGCACAACACCAGCAAGGTTAAGACATGCAACAGGATTTGGCTTATCCCCACAGAGGGATAAGCTCAACAGCAGGGAACAAACGACTCAGTGACATCTGGAGACAAACACTGATGACAATGAGGTCAGAGCACTCGGGATCTCACATGTAAATACAGACGTTTCCTCACATACCATGGTAGCTCCTCACTAAATGTATTCGGCCACATGAATTTTGTTTCTATCGCACACTAAGTTGCAGCAAAGATTTTTAAAAAAGCTACTGGACACAGGCTGTGATTTGGGGGCTGGAATGAGAGATCCTTACAGTCCTCTCCAACCCAAATCTTTCTATTTGTGTTTCAAGGAGAACAGTGGAGAAACAGACCCCAACTCTAACAGATTTTAGAATGCATACAGCGCATTCATTCTAGAAATTATTTCATTCTTGTTGTGTTAAACACTGAATCTTGAACTGATTTTCTTCCTCCTCTGTGAGTGCTGACAAATTTGCATGTGGCTGGTCACAGCTAACAGGTAACAACATTTGCATCAACAGCTAAAAACAAGCACATCACTTGAATACTCATGATGAGTGATAAGAATGAACGTTACACTACATGTTATATGGGAAACACCACGTTTAACTGGGAGTTTTTAGCATTCTACTGCTTGCTGTGGCAATACTGTACCATCATCAACTCAGAGGTCTTATCATGAAGGCACCAGGTAACACCACCTCAGCTTATGGGCTTTGAAAGAGAAGCCATGGGATACCAGAAGTTAGAGACTGAGAGAGGCTGCTGCAGACACTTGTGTGCCAGTGAATCTCACACCACCCCCAATGTGTACAGGGGAATGGAGACTGGGAGCAGCAATATCTGCTTGGGATTTGTCATGCATGGAGTGTAACTGGAAGGAAGTAACAGTACATTACCTTTGAGCCATCCTCAGGCTGCAACAACAGGGAATAAATCACTATTGTTATCTACAGCATTTCCATGAAATTCCTCTCCTGACACCAGTGAAGGTGTCTGATTGAAGCCTCATTGGAAGAGGGCTGTAATGGACCCCAAGGTGAGGATTACACCTACCTTTCCTTCTTCAGCAAATCCCCTTCCATCACAGTCATGCTCAGAGGCCTCTTCCTCTCCAGGGTCCCACATTCATAGTCATTCCCAGTGTGTGACAAGTGATTGGAATTTACAGCAGGAACTGCCACAAACGCCCCAGACACATTGAAATCTTCATCTGAAGAGGGACAGACAGAATGCCTCCTCAGACACACACACACACATCCCAAGGGTGTCTCACTGCACAAGCCACTGAGGCTGAGCTGGAGGGCAATGTAAAACTGCTGGGCTGTGGCAGAACTCACCTCCAGGGAAGAACCAGTCTGCATGCTGGATGATGGGCTCAATAACTGCCACCACATGCACCGAGGTGGCTGCTGCCATCTCAGCAAGGGATCTGCAGGAGAGATTTGAACAGCGCTTTATTCAGGCTTCCATCAAATAAGAAAATTAAAATCAATTCAGACTACCTAAATAACAACTTGGGCTAAGCATGATGGATCAGCTCCTCAGTACCAGAGAGAGAGCAACTGTGCTGGACTCCAGACCATTCAGAGCTTTTGGAACACCCCTAAAACCCTCCTGCCTCAAAGGACCTCGAGGCATGGGCTGAAAGAACACTTAAAATATTTTTTAGGTAAACAGTCTGTTGCTGTGAATTGCTAAATTCCATGCTAAAGGATTTAAACCTATCAGTTCTACAGCTTCACCCCGTTCTGCTCTGTAGCTTTCTTAAAAGAACTCACCCTTCATTCTTTGCCCACAACAAGTTGGGGCCCAGGACTATGGCGATGTTGCTTGGTGTCATTTTGTTAACGTCACTGTTCTGGGCAAGCTTGGCTAAAAATTTGATTAAATACCTTCAAAAAGGAAAGAAATAATTAAAGAGCAGGAACCGTGAGCGTTTCTTGTTGAAAACACGTAAATAAAAATTCAAGAGCCTGTACAGAGAGCTCCCAACAAGACGGAAATGAGATGAGCAGCCTTCTTGCTTGGCAGCTGCCCAAAGCTTCTGCTCCTGACTCAGAAAAGTTGAACCGGGCAGCAAAGAAAGCAGCTCCCATCTTAGCAAAATAGAACCACAGAAATATTGTACTTCCAGAGAAAAACCCTTAATTTCAGCTAGTTTTATGTCCAGTGATGGAAATTCCATGCTTCTAGGAATCACCAGAGCTGGTTTTGTTCTGGTTCATTTCCAAAACAAAAACCAAAAGGAAAAATGAGATGTTTAAGACAGATCCAGGTGATTTCTAAGACTGGAAACTACAGCAAAGAGCAGAGCATGAGCCATAAGCAGAAAGGCTCTGTGCATCACTGCTCCCTGACAGCCAAAAGGGAATCAGTCTGAGGACACCTCCTATGCATGGCCACTGCTGCACGAAACAAGAGGTATTTTTATAAATCTCACGGAATTTGGCCACAACAGCACACCTGGATTAGAGTTCAGTTTAATTGGCTTTGAGGTGCAAAGCAGCTGAGCTAAGAGATGTTCTCACCTACCTGAAGTTAACACGGTAATGCTCAGGTAATCTGTTACAAATCCTCCATAACTCCTGCAGCTTCTTATCCTGGTCCTGAATGCTGAAAGGACAAAAAATGCCATGACATCTTACTTTCAGGGCAGGAACTAGCTCCTGCAGTGACAAAGAGATGATGGTATCAACTTCCATTGATGCCACAGAAATGTTTTGTACTCAGTAACCTGCTTGTCAGATCCCTGAATTATCCCTACCTGCAACAAAACTGCTTGAGCATCAATAATGTGCAGCCAGCAGCCTGAAGCAGCCCTAATAGCTAAACAAAGTAGATATTTCACCATATTTTGTGCAAATTTTATTATTTTTTTGGTGCTATTTATTATTTAAAATAATTTGTTACACGAAATACCCGTAAGTGAAATAACAACTGTGTGAGCTTGGCTGTTTCTTTTGAATTCATCTGCGAAGAATAAAATTTAACAGAGATATGCAGCATGACTTCCTCCACAGCTATTTCTAGCATGCTTACTTGGCAGCTTGTGTCCACTCCTCATACAGGCTGTAGGTCATGAGAGGCTCTGGCAGCTCCCTCAGATAGGATTTCAAGGCACCTGCAATGCAGACAGGGACAGGTTGGTTCCTCAGCCACTGCTTTCACACTCCAGGGAAAATTCTGCCCTCACTTTGCAGTTTGATCTGTGCAGTGAATTCCAAGTACCAGGGAAAGTGGCCAGACCTGACACTTGCTCAGATCCAGCACAAAGGGTCTGTCAGGAATTGGTGCAATTTGACAGAAACATGCTGTAAAACTCTGAATCATCTCTTCAGGACGAAGGACTTCTTATAAAGATGTACTGAAGGTCTACACACAGCTCGAATCTACCCTGACCATGTTAGCACTCTTGTCATGAGAGATGTGGCAGCTGGGCCATTGTGACCACCTGAATTTTACACACCATAGTCACAAATACAGCAGCTGTGATCAGCACAGGCACCCTACACGTATCTGTGTCAAACTGTGCAGTGAACTGTCCACTGGCTGTCCCTTCTCCCAGTGTAACTGTGGAGATCACCCCCTGAACAGCAGGAGCCTGTGCTGTGTCAATTGACACCTGGTTTGCATTCAGAACACCCCAATACCTGCAACAGCGTGGGGATCTGAGTAAAACTCATCAAGCTGGGATGTGGAACAGTCCAGGGCAGCTTTCAGCTTTTTTAACTTGGAGGCTCCAGCAGCAATTCTGAACAAGCCCTGCAGCAGAGAAATGAAATGTATTGATTGGTAAGCACATATGGGCAGAGTTTCACAACAGAACACTCCAGCTTTGCTGCCTTCCCCTGACAGCTGTGACCCAGCTGGCCCTTCATGTGCCCTGTCACTGCCACCTGAGCATGGGTCAGCTCTGTCCCACCCTTGGCCCACCCCTAATTTCACTGTACGCGCATCCACTTCCAAAATCCTTCACACAGTGCTGAGGTTATTCTGTGGCAAAACATTTACCAACTACTAAATGAAGAAATTAGTTAAGCAACTTATTAACAAACAGACCCCAGTTTATGAGCATCACTGGGCCCTCCTCCCCCTGTTCCAGGGCTGTGATCTGGCATCACCCAGCTCCTCTCTCACCCCTGTGATCTGGCATCACCCAGCTCCTCTCTCACCCCTGTGATCTGGCATCACCCAGCTCCTCTCTCACCCCTGTGATCTGGCCAGGAATTACCCAGCTCCTCTCTCACCCCTGTGATCTGGCATCACCCAGCTCCTCTGTCATCCTGTGACCTGGCATCACCCAGCTCCTCTCTCACCCCTGTGATCTGGAATCACCCAGCTCCTCTCTCACCCCTGTGATCTGGAATCACCCAGCTCCTCTCTCACCCCTGTGATCTGGAATCACCCAGCTCCTCTCTCACCCCTGTGATCTGGAATCACCCAGCTCCTCTCTCACCCCTGTGATCTGGCATCACCCAGCTCCTCTCTCACCCCTGTGATCTGGAATCACCCAGCTCCTCTCTCACCCCTGTGATCTGGCATCACCCAGCTCCTCTCTCACCCCTGTGATCTGGAATCACCCAGCTCCTCTCTCATCCCTGTGATCTGGCATCACCCAGCTCCTCTCTCACCCCTGTGATCTGGCCAGGAATCACCCATCTCCTCTCTCACCCCTGTGACCCAGCATCACCCACCTCCTCTCTCACCCCTGTGACCCAGCATCACCCACCTCCTCTCTGTGACCCAGCATCACCCACCTCCTCTCTCACCCCTGTGACCCAGCATCACCCATCTCCTCTCTCACCCCTGTGACCCAGCATCACCCAGCTCCTCTCTCACCCCTGTGACCCAGCCTCACCCACCTCCTCTCTCACCCCTGTGACCCAGCATCACCCACCTCCTCTCTGTGACCCAGCATCACCCACCTCCTCTCTCATGCCTGTCTCCAGCAGCATCATGACACAGGCCTCGATGGGAACCGCGATTTCCCGCCCGCTGCGCTTCAGGTGCTCTTCCAGGGGAGTTCCAAACGCTGGTTTTTCAGTCCATTTGTCTAAGTTGGAGAGTATCAAAACACTGAGCAGGATATCTACCAAAGCCTTGAATTACAGCCCAGGCAAGAAGAGAAGAAAGCCTCTAGTACAGCACAGAAACGTTCACACTACAGCAGGAGTTTAACAGCCCTTGATTGGTAAAGTCCCTTGGATCATGAGCAAAGAGAAAATGAGGCTGCTGGTGGTCAAGAAAAAAAATACTTCTGCATCTTTCTGGATGGAAAATCACATACAAATTCTGTGTGTAACTGGAATTGTAAATAACAAACCCCAACAAGTGCCAGCACAAGGCTGCACATTCCAGTAACACTGATTTGGCTCTGCAAGAATCTGTGAGGAAAATTTTGTCCAGACTGCATGACCTGGGCTGATTTTGGTTTTAACTGCATTTCAGGTGAATAACAACTGAGCTGTTTTATTCCTTAAATCTGATCCCTTAAATCAGCAAATTGCAATGGGTGTTAACAGCCTCAGTGTATCACATCAGAACTACCATGGTAACAGCCCAGCACCGTAACATTCAAATTTTCAATTTCATTCTTCAACTCTTGTTTAACTCCAATTTGCACAAATTTCTCCAAATTGAATGTGAATTTCTTCTTTCCTATAATTTATGTTCTGACCCATTTCTGCTACTTTAACTGAAAAAATGCAGATGTAAAAGGTTATTGTTAGTACAGATGTGTTATTTCTTTTATGTGGAAAAGAGGCCAAGAAGGACAAAAACTTCAGAGGACTTCAAAGAGTGCTCTGAAGGCAAAGTGTTTCTGCAAAGGATTAAATTCACCCCTTTTCTTTACAAAACCACATCAATCACCTCCCTTGTCCTGTTTTAGTCCCTCTCATTTGTTAACACGCCATGAGATGCACAAGGCATTTCCCAACCTCTGCAAATTACAGCAAACATTAGGAAAAGAAAGCTCAGCACTTGTTCAGAGTGCCAGCTCCCATCCCTGGCAGTGCCCAGGCCAGGCTGGACAGGCCTTGGAGCAGCCTGGGACAGTGGGAGGTGTCCCTGCCATGGCAGGGGTGGCACTGGATGGGCTTTAGGGACCCTTGAACCCAAACCTTTATGGGATTCTGACTGGCACTGCAGCTAGGAACACAAGGTGAGAAATTCCCTGCATTCAGCACTTGGCCACCACGGCTCCCAGCCCCTTCTAGGGAGGCCAGTTCTGAAGCCTTTGCTGCTCAGCTGCTCTGTCCCAACTTTCCATGCAAAAATAACAAATTTCAAGCAGCCATATCCACAAAGAACCTTCTGCACAGCCCTGCTGCTGTAGCAGCATCATCTCCTCTCCCACAGAGTGCAGATACCCCACAGCATTTTCCACAATGCTCCCACTGATTTATTGGTTTGGTTCATCTTTAACAACCTTCACCAGCTGAAGATACCTGAGCCTGCCTCAGCTCAGACTGTATTTGCCCTCAGACTCTGTTCACCTATTGCTCCAAAGATTCAGGGACAGCCCAGCCAATATTTTGGGGAGTAGTTTCCAAAACACACAGTGCATCTTCATCCCAAAGGAAGCCCCCTGGCAGTGGAAGCTTAGCAGCAGTTCCAGTTCTTCTTAGGGAAGAAATGAAGCTGTACAATTCCATTTTTTAACAGCTGATAATCAGCACAAGAACCCAAACTCTCTGTTTCCCTGCATGCAGTGCACACTGGGGAAGAGGACTGCACAAAATGAGGGAAAAAAAAAATCCAGCTCTTTAAAATCCACGGAGTTTTCCTGATAATCACCTGTAAGCACTCAAGAACCAAATCACAGTGACACTTCCATTGGCCTGATGAGCCAGCTGTGACTCAGCAAAAGGGCACAAGGAAAACAGCTAAGCAAATAGGAAAACCCTTCCTTTAGCCCAGTGGGTATCAGAGAGATCCTTAATTAATATTTGATTAGTGTGTTAAACATGGCTGGAGAGCTCTGGAGAACAGGAAGATGGAATTATGCTTGGGAATGTAAAACTGTTAAGCAGATCAAAATGGCCTCATTAAATCAGTCTGCATGCAAGAGAATCAAGAGAGAGGAGGAGAATATTGTGCATAGGTGGCACAGGCAAGGAGAAGCATCAGCCAGAGCACAGGTTACTTTACCTTGATGGGCTTGAATTTCGGGTAGGACCTTTTCTATGACTGCTAATGCTTTTCTATGGTAATCTGCTTGTGCTTCTAATAACTGAGAACAGAAGCCACATTTTAAAAACAAAAAGAGCATTAGCTTCTGATGAGCACATAAGACAAGACTAAAGGTTTAGCACACAAATGCCACCTCTGGAACGCAGTGTGTGTGCCCAGCTGTGCAGAGGCAGAGCCCAGGGGCAGCACTCACCGTGACAAAGCAGCGGGCGTACTCCCCCTCCTTGGACACAAAGCTGTACATGTCTGCAGCCAGCTGATCCTTTGGGGAACATGCAAACCAGGACAGCACATTTACTCATCTCAAACCACACAGACTCCTTGATTGTGTTTATTTTGCCTGCAGGAAGTTTGAACTAAGAAGCTGTAATGCACCTGCTCTGATCCAAGTGCTCTGCAAGCTTCAATCATTTCTTCAAAATTATTTCAGAATCTTTACTCTGGTTTATCCAGCAAAGCAGTTGCCCCCTTCAGTCAAGGACACATTGCCATTCAGTCCAGTTATTTATAGCACTCAAAGACAAGTACTAATAAAAATGGTTTCAGTTCTCAGTACTCAATGGAGCACTTGCTGCTGAGAAGTGAAAATGAATGTGAGCTGCTCAGAGGTGTCACAGCTCCTGGGAGGTGTCACAGCTTCAGTTTCCTCCAGGTGCCTGCAGCCACAGCTGCTCCACGGCACCCTGAGCATTCATTCATGGCCAGGACACAGCTGGCTCAGAGTGAAACTGAAAATAATGTCCAGTACCCAACCCAGAAACACCCTGCATGGAGTTCCTCATTGAGCTACAGCAATCCAGAGATCAGCTGGCATGAAAATGCCCCCAGGACAGGCACTGTCACAGCCACATGATCTGCAGCTGCACAACTGGGCAATTCCATGGGAGCTGTGGAAAGGATACTCATCCTGTCCTTACCTTGCACTGCTCTACTTTATTTCCAGCTTCATCCATCTCTTCCTTAAGAGATTCTATTTTTGAAGGATGCACTTGGAAATTTGTTCCTGAAGTCTTGTGGGCTTGGTTGTATCTGGGGAAGAAGAGTTTCATTCTGTGAGAATCAATATTCAACACAAATCTGCATTTACGGCTCCCTTGGAACTGGTTTCTCTCTCCAGGAACAATCCCCACAGCTCCAGAGGTTTTCCAACAGAACCAAAAGGTTCCAAACACAGCAGTCATGACATGCTGACATAACCCACCAGCAGCTACAAAACTCACCAGGATCCTGTGTCTGCCCCATGCCAGGGGTGTGGAATATGCTGAAAATGGCTCCCCCAGGTCTCAGGGCAGGGTAAAACCATCCCAAGGCACCCAAGGGTGAGGTGGACAACCCAGGAGCCTCCCAAGGAGATGGCTCCACACAGGGCTGTAAAAGCACCTGCTGTGGTTACACAGGGAGGCTCCTGTTCCCTCTTTGAGCTGAGAACTTCAGTGATTCCTTATTTAAGTTAAGCACTTGTATGAACTGGAAACTGGATGAGTTTCCAACATTTTTCCAGTTATATAAAGGCACGTAAGAACTGTGAAATCTTGATTCTGTTTGGATCTAGCAGTCATGGATCCTCTTCTGGTGTAATTGAAAAGTAAGTTTGTCTTTTTTCACCCATTGCCTGCTCACAGCAGCATTTCAGGAGCAAGCACCAGAGCAGAGCAGGTGCCATGAGATGCCAACAAGGAGCTCACAGGGACAGAAAAGCAGCCAGGAACTAAAATGCTCTCCTACCTTCCCCTTGCAGAATCCCAGTCCAGCACCAGCTTTGCAAGCTGCTTCCTCTGCTTCTGAATGTTTGGGATCTCTGTCTGAAATGAGAATTAGAGGCCTACATTCAATTTTAAGTTGTGCACTGTAACAAATTCCATGTTGTAGGTTTCATACCCACTTTCCACCACTAACACAGGGCTCCTTAAAGCAGTTTTTGAGTACCAGCACTGAGATAACCCCCTTTTGCTCAGTTTATGCATCAATCCAGATGTGTTCTCCTCTCAGGCTGAGCTGTCTCACCTCTGTCAGCAGGCACAGTGGGTCTATAACTTCTCTCTCAATCTGTACTTCATGCTGGGAGAGCTCCATTGCCAGTTTATTCTCTGCATCCCCACAGGTATCCAGCATTTTCCTGAAAGAATTACAGAAATTGTCATGGCAGTTACTGACTGAAGAAGGACTGAAGGCAGAGCAGAGCTTTGCAAAGCTTTGTGCTGTAGAAAGCAAAGCATCCCTCCATGGCCTGAACCCAACTGCTCTGCGCTCTCTTGGAGCAACCTGGGACAGGCAAGTGCTCTTATTAAACCTTTTTCTTCTAAATTCCTGAGCCATGACAGCACTTTGGAGGCTTTCAGACATCCAGGTGATTCCAGCAGCCCTGAGGCACAGAAGTCACTCAGTATTTATTTCCAAGCCCATCCTTCCATCTCACAGGGAAACTGCTCCATGCCCTATTTCACTTTCTCCTAAGCCCCTTTAATGTGAAGGTCTTGACACCCTAATTCCCAGCAATCCCATCCCCAGCATCTCAGGCTCCCAACCCATGACCTGACCTTCATTTTATGCTTGTTATAAGGAAAACCCCTATTCTGTAAGATTTTTATCCAGGTTTAAATCTCCTGCAGTGGCTCAGAAATATGTTCTCAGAGGTTTCTGAGGTCATTCTACACTGTCTCCATAAGAATTCCCACCAGCAATAACAAAACCCACCTGGCTCCAGGAATTCAGCACAGGGAGGTTCATTTGTTTCAGCACTTTCCTGTTAATTGCAAATAACCTTGCCAGGATAGATAAATCTGGGCTACTTTGAACTAGGAGCCATTAATGCAAATTGACATTATCTTAAGTCATCAATTCAAACCTGCAGACTGCAGTTTAAAATAAAAATACAGTTTAATTATAGAATACACAACATTTTAAACTTCAAATGGAGGTGATAATTCTACTAACCCACAAAGAAAAAAACCATTTTAAAAGCTTTTATGATAACAGAGAATCAGAATCCTCTGGAATGTAATTCAGCCTAAAACTTGTCCCCACATCATTCCAGAAAAACTGCTTGCTCACAGTTTCTCCCTCTGGATTAGAGAAAGAATCTAGAAATATTAAGTTTTATTAGACTGAAACCAGCCTTTGTGCACGCAGAGGTTCTAATGAGAGCCCTGCAGGCAATGAGATGTCAGACAGCAAGTCAGGGAAAAAGGCAAACACTTACCCCAGCAGAGTTTCATCACTCAGCTGGATGGAGCCCTCCTGCATGTTTTGAGCCAGAGCTGTTAGAGGAAGTTTTTTCTGTGGAACAGAAGGAACAGTGCTTAGCTTGGTGCTGCTCACTCTTTCCAGCACATCCCCTCTCAGGTTCTCTCCCCTTCCATATGGTTTCTATTACACAAACACAGCTCATTCTTGGACTCCAGGAAAATGCCAAGTCACAAAAAGTTTCAAGACTCCTGTTCTCAGACACTCTGAAAAGCACTTTCTTCTCAGTTTTAGCTGGAATGACTGGCCCAAAGCGTATCCCAGCCACTGCCAAGGAGAGATAAACAGCTTTGAGCTGAGATTTAAACACCCAGCTTCTCACCTCTCTCACCTGTGTGCCCCTGCTCCAGGTCTCTGTTCCTCAATAAAAGGAAAGCGGGAATGTGATTTCTTTCTGCCTCTGATGCTCTAAGAAAACCCACCTACAGCTTTGCTAAGGAGGGCAGAACCAAATGTGTACAGAAAAGCATTTCCAGCCAGCTCAGCTGTCAGGGGTCCAGGGCAGCTCCAGACCTGAGGAGCTGGGGCAGAGGGGCAGAGCTGCAGAGCTGCAATGACCTGCCCTGGCTGGGGCAGAGATGCAATGACCTGCCCTGGCTGGGGCAGAGATGCAATGACCTGCCCTGGCTGGGGCAGAGCTGCAATCACCTCCCATGGCTGGGGCAGAGCTGCAGAGCTGCAATCACCTCCCATGGCTGGGGCAGAGCTGCAATCACCTCCCATGGCTGGGGCAGAGCTGCAATCACCTGCCCTGGCTGGGGCAGAGCTGCAATCACCTCCCATGGCCGGGGCAGAGCTGCAATGACCTGCCCATGGCTGGGGCAGAGCTGCAATCACCTGCCCATGGCTGGGACAGAGCTGCAATGACCTGCCCATGGCTGGGGCAGAGCTGCAATCTCCTGCCCATGGCTGGGGCAGAGCTGCAGAGCTGCAATCACCTGCCCATGGCTGGGGCAGAGCTGCAATCACCTGCCCTGGCTGGGACAGAGCTGCAATGACCTGCCCTGGCTGGGGCAGAGCTGCAATGACCTGCCCTGGCTGGGGCAGAGCTCCAGCTCATCTCATCTCATCTCATCTGCCCTGGCTGGGGCAGGAGAGCCCCCAGCACCCAGCAGGGACACCAAGTGTCTTGGCACTGCTGAGCTGCTCCAGCCTGTGCTGGGGTCGGGTGGCACTGGGCTGGCACTGGTGTTTCACTGGGATGTCACTGGGGTGGCACTGGGCTGGCACTGGAGTTTCACTGAGGTGTCACTCGGGTTTAACTGGACTGTCACTGGGATTTCACTAGGATGTCACTGGAGTTTCACTGGGCTGTCCCTGGGGTGTCCCTGGGGTGTCAGTGGGCTGTCACAGCAGTGTCACTGGAGTTTCACTGGGGTGTCACTGGGGTTTCAATGGGATGTCACTGGGGTGGCACTGGGCTGGCACTGGGGTGTCATTGGAGTTTCACTGAAGTTTCACTGGAATGTCACTGGGGTGTCCCTGGGGTGTCAGTGGGCTGTCACAGCAGTGTCACTGGAGTTTCACTGGGCTGTCACTGGGGTGTCACTGGGGTTTCACTGGGATGTCACTGGGCTGTCACTGAAGTTTCACTGAAGTGTCACTGTGGTGTCATCAGTGCCAGCAGCCAGATGCCCTGGCAGAGCCCTGCTGCTCTGGTGGCACTCTGGCAGAGCCCTGCTGCCCTGGTGGCACCCTGGCAGAGCCACGCTGCCCTGGCAGAGCCCTGCTGCCCTGGTGGCACTCTCTGGCAGAGCCGTGCTGCCCTGGTGGCACTCTGGCAGAGCCGTGCTGCCCTGGCAGAGCCCTGCTGCCCTGGTGACACCCTGGCAGAGCCCTGCTGCCCTGGCAGAGCCCTGCTGCCCTGCTGGCACTCTGGCAGAGCCATGCTGCCCTGCTGGCACTCTGGCAGAGCTGTGCTGCCCTGGCAGAGCCCTGCTGCCCTGCTGGCACCCCCAGCTGTACTCACGTGTCTCTTGTCAGGGTCAGTGCCATGCTGGCCCTGCAGACAGGCAATCAGCCTCTTCTGGGCCAGGTGGCACACGGACCTCACGGCATCCAGCCGCCTCTCGATCTGCTCGGCCACAGGGGAGGAAGAGAAAACAACACAAAAACCAGAAGTTATTTCCCTGGCCTCAGCAGAAAACCTTCCCCCTGGACCACACGCTGCTCTGGGCTGCAGATTTCTCAAATTCTCCAGCTTACAAGAAGTGCAGCTGCTTAGCAGAAGTGCCTGACAGCAAAAATGCTTGGGGGGAAACTGAAATTGGTTTTTCTCTTCAGTGGCACAGGAATTCAGTCAGAGCTCATGGCACTGGAAAGTGGGAAAGGGAAAAAGCATTGCCCTGCTTGGCACCTCAGCAAAAGGGAATCAGGGTGGCACCTGGCATCTGAGATGAATGGCACATGCAGGTACCCAAGACACTACTTTAGAGAGAAAACTGTGGGAAAACTCATCATTCTCATCATTTTCACTGTGACCTTGTGAAGTAGGTGCTGGAGATACATCTGACAGCTCCTTCCCACTGTGCAAACCTGTACTCCAAGCTCCTCCTGCACGTCCTTCCCTGGCTGTTAAACACAAGGACAAAGCTCCCACATGCTGAGCAAAACAGAATTTCCAGGGAGAGACTACTGAGGTTCAAATGGGATATGGAATTAAAAAATAGGAGTCAAAGCCCAAACAAGAGTTCTGTTTATCAGCATCCAATTCAAACATGGCTTAATACACAGCCTGTGAATAGGACAAATATATACACGATAAACTGTTCTTGTAAGGGATTTAAAGCAAGGAATTTGGACTATTTTATTTCAAAGAACACCAAAAACAAACACAGAGATGAGCAGTGGGACAGAACTGCTCATGGCACTGAGCTCTCTGTGCACAGCACCCAAAGAATGCTGTTTATCTGCATTTTGATGACTCACCAAGAATAACAGGAGGCCCTTTGGAATGGGTTCTATTTAAAAAGCAAGGGGAAAAAAAAGTAGATTTCATCTGTAGAAATAATCTGAACAGATTCCAGTTTTTGATACAGCTCTAAAATCACTTTTATTATATTTTCAGGAGGGCAAAATGAACCCAAGTTGAAGTGCTCAAAACGATCAGTAAAAATCTATTAGGGTAGAAAAAGCTGCAGAGAAACTGCCCAGAGATTGCTCTGAGAGCACAAGGCTCTGCCTTTTATCTACAGAGCATGGAGCAACAAATTCAAAATTAAATCCGGGTGGGAAAAGTCCATAAGGAGATCAATGAACAAGCAGGTATTGTTTGTGCCCTATTGCTGCAGCTAAGACTATTCACTTCCCTTGTGTTATCTTCAAAATGAAATTCTGGAATAGTTTAGGGTGGAAAGGACCTTCAATCCCATCCAGGGCCAGGGACACCTCCAGCTGTCCCAGGCTGCTCCACTGTCCAGCCTGGCCTGGGCACTGCCAGGGATGCAGGGGCAGCCCCAGCTGCTCTGGGCACCTGTGCCAGGGCCTGCCCACCCTGCCTGGGAGCAAACACCACCACCACATTCTAAGCCATCCTCCTGTCCCAGAATAATTCCCTTCTGCAAGGTCAGGCAGTTCTACCACTGAGCACAGGGTGTCCCACACCTGAGCCTGTGGCACAGCCTGGGCAGCCCTGCCTGGGGCTCCTTGGAGAGCTCTGCAGCTCCCACATTGCCGAGGCTCTTTCCAGGCACCCTGAGCTCTGCAGCTCCCACATGGCCGAGGCTCTTTCCAGGCACCCTGAGCTCTGCAGCTCCCACATGGCCGAGGCTCTTTCCAGGCACCCTGAGCTCTGCAGCTCCCACAGTGCCGAGGCTCTTTCCAGGCACCCTGAGCTGCAGAGAGGGCAGAGGACTGACAGAAGAACATGACCCCACAACGTCAGTCCTACCCTCTCCTCTCTGATCTGCTCTCTAGGGCAGAGATGGCAAGAACACCACAAAGGACATTAATCTCCCTCAAGCCACCTCTGAAGTGACAATGTGACCCAGGGGCCACGCTGTCTGTCCCCTCAGGCCATCCCCAGAGTACAGAACATCACACAATTGCTTTATTATCTGCCACGGGGCCGTGCCAGAAAGCAGGGCTATTGTAAAGGCCTTTTGAGCACTGAATTATAGCCCTTGTCTTCAGATGAAACACACTGAACAGACACTTGAAATGGAGCACAACCCTTCAGAAAACAGAACAAAAAAAGGCTGCAACAATCCTGTGGCAAAGCTTGGGCTAAATATAAAAAAGCCCAACTGTGAGCCATGTTTGTGAAGTGAGCAGCACCATGTTTCCAAACTCGTGGGTTAGATAAGAGCCTCCTGCCCCTGCTCAAGCCCCCAAGAGCAAACAAACAAGTGAGTAAATTCTTCCACTTGGGTGTAGCCAGGCTGCTCGGGGCCTGGGAAAGCCTTGCTTGCAAAATTTTTTTGGCAACAAGCAGCAGAGCTTTTGGCTTTCACTTCTTGTTACTATTCTGCAGCTAAGCAAGAAACCAGCTGGGCTCTCACAGGCTACCAAGGTGTTTAACATCCTTTGTGCCACTGAGCTGCACACCTCCTCAGAAACTAAGAACAGAACTGTCAAACCGGGAAGGGATTTTTAGTTTAAATAAAGCAACCCCCTGAAAAGAGGGTGAAATGTTTCAGGTCCCCGTTACACTGGCACAGGGTGCCCAGAGCAGCTGGGGCTGCCATGGATCCCTGGCAGTGCCCAAGGCCAGGCTGGACAGGGCTGGAGCAGCCTGGGACAGGGGAAGGTGTCCCTGCCATAGCAGGGGTGGCACTGGATGGGCTTTGAGGTCCCTCCACCCCAAACCAGTCTGGGACTCTGCAATTCTGGGTATTTGTGCTGAACTCATGTCTGAAGGCTGGCACACTCCCTCAGGTGCCTCCTGGACCCGGAGAGCTCTGAACCAGAGGCAGCTCCATCACCTGCCTGCTCCACCTGCAGGCCCTGAGCTCAGGCTGAGGTGCTCTGTGATGAATCAGGAATGAGCACCACACTCGAGTCCAGGAGCAGCCAGCCCGACTCCCCTCCCTGATCTGTGCTCCTTTCACAAACCCTTCACAGAGAAACCAGGGGAAGACAACTATGTGGGACAAGTCTGCAGGCAAATCTGCTCCGTGGAATCAGTCACCCTTGTTAATGTGACAGTTGCAGCTTAAATTCCACCACGAAAGTCGTGTTTGATGAGATGATAAATCTGCACAGAGATGACAAGTCTGCAAACAAATCGATGTCAGCATGACAAATCTGAGAACAAGTATCACAGCTAAACAAGAAGCAGTTGTACACTCACTTCAAGCGGTAACAGACTTTATTAGTGAGCACTTGGGATGATTTTTGTGCCACTTCTGTTAAGGCCCAGTTGACGTGTTCAGGTGAAAGCAGTGAGCACAGAAAGCAGCTGTGCCCAGCAGGGTTTCCTCCTCCTCCTCATACAGACTGGCACATCACCAGCACCAGTGGCTCCTGGTGAACAGCAGGCCTGTTCATCTCATTAAAAGCAGGAATGGTTCCTCTTCCACTCTACCAGGCCGTGTGATTGCACTCAGAAACAGAAATAACTGAGTTTTTCTACTCAAAATGTACCTGTGTTTTCAGGTGCTGAAAAATCCAGGGTTCCATCCCTGACATGTGCAGTATTTCTCCCCACACCAGGTACTCCACAAACCTCAGAAAGCTCACACATCACAGCATTAAAAAAATACATATGAAGCATGTTACAATACCTGCAACAGGTCTTCACTGAGTACCTCTGTTCTCTCAGCCCTAAGGGAGGAAAAAAGACCATTGTCAGACAACTGGCATGTTCAGGGTCCCAGATTGCCTCAACAATTCCAACAAAACCTGCTCAGTTCCAAGTTATGATGCCATGACAGCAAACAGCACCATGTTCACCTGTCCCAGGGGGTTTGGGAAGCCCTGACACCCCTGGAGTGCCCACCCTGCAGCACAAATCCACTGCACCAAGCCTCAAATGGTGATTCCAACTGTACATGGAATAAACCAAAGCAAAGTGAAACATTGCACCTGAACCACTGCACCAAGCCCCAAATGCTGATTCCAACTGCACATGGAATAACCCAAAACAAAGTGAACCATTGCACCAAGCCCCAAACGGTGATTCCAACTGCACCTGGAACAACCCAAAGCAAACTGAGCCAGTGCACCAAGCCCTAAATGGTGATTCCAACTGCACCTGGAATAAACCAAAGCAAACTGAGCCAATGCATCTGAACCACTGCACCAAGCCCCAAATGCTGTTTCCAACTGCACCTGGAATAACCCAAAGCAAACTGAGGCAGTGCACCTGAGTGTACAGGAATATAAAGCCATGAGAAGCACAGGGGAGGCACCATCCTCTCTCTGAGCTGAAGCACTGCAGAGCTTTATCCCTCAGAAGCAGTGGGGATAGCAGCCTGAAGCTCCCACAGCCAGCCTTCACCAGAAACCCCCATCCCCTCATCCTGCTGAACTCCCAGCACTAAACCAGAGGGTCTGGTGCTTGACAAGCTCAGCAGAATCCATGGCATTCCCAGGAAAGGCTGCCTTCCACAGAACAGCACTTCCCAAGGCTGCAGACACTCTCCTGTCCCTGCACACACCTCATCCCCTGCCAGCCCAGCTCACACAAACTTAAACTGTTCAATGTTGACACAGGTTTATTTGTTGTTGGCTCTGTGGCTCTAGCAGTGATTGAGTCTCCCTTTGCCAGGCCTATAAAATAAAGATAAATTCAGTTTCCCCAATCTCTCCCTGCCTGCGCTCACCGTTACTACACATCTACAGCAGGGAGCACTTGGAGGGACTCCAGCACACTCTCTTCCTGTTCTGAGAGTTTCCCCTGCTGCTGCCAGAGTCCCTCAGCTACTCCAGCCCTTATCAGCTCCTGCAATCTGTCAAACAACCCCTGCAAACCCGGGCACGCACAGCAAGCTCGTGTTCCTGATCAGCCCTCAGCAGCTGAACGTGCCAAAAGCCTCCAAGGACAAGATTCCTTCAGGTTTGGGTCGGTGCTTTTAAAGCATTTATTTGAATTCGATTTTACAGCACATTATCTGCTTCGACTAGTTGTGAACCATAAGGTGTTTAATAATTAAATTATTAATAGCAGATTAATAATTTAATTATTTTAAAAAACCCCAGATTAGTAATTAAATTATTAAGGCAGCCAGAATAAAGTAAAAGCTCAGAGCCTCAGCCAGACTCAGACAAAAGCAGCTGAAATACTCTGACAGCACTGTAATATTTATTTGTTGAGGATAACACAGACAAGATTGATAAACTTTTCTCCCACCCAAACAGAAACATTTCGTCTGACGGAAATTACATCCTGTTAGAGAGCAATTATTTATACTTATTATTTATATATTTATATTGTACTGCTGCATAACCCACTCTGCTGTAACCACAACTTTAATTCAAACCCCCTCAAACATTAGAATAGAGCTTCCATACAACTTTAGAGTTACACAAAGTTTGGTTTCTCCTTCCCTTTCCCTAGGATATTCTATCCACTGGAGTGAATGGTGGTGCCTCAGTACTGTGCCAGCAGAAGCTTGCTCCCAGTTTAAATGTGCTTACCCACATAGTGTGGATCATTGTGTGAAGTGCAAAATAATTGTATTTATTTTTCTCAACCTGATCTGGTTTCTGCAGGGCGCAGAGCCCCAGTGGCACAACGCAGGTGTCCTCCCTGGGGATGCTGTCCCTGCCCTGGGTGGCAGCAGGAGCAGGGCCAGGCCAGGCAGAGCAGAACAGCCCCTGCTGGTGATGTCAGGCTCGGAAGTGCAGCCAGGGAAAACCTCACCCTTCCTGCAGGCCCACATTCCACCTTTAATAAGGAAGCCAAGAAAGAGCCACTAAATAATGTTGTTTTTCAGTGATCACAACCATGAAAGAGAAGACTCAACCCTGTGATAGCAGCACAGCTCATCTCCTCTCTGCACAGGGGAAAGCAGCAAACCATCAAAGGGACCTGGCTCCCTTGGCATTAACCTCTGTCTCCCTGGAATTAACCTCTGTCTCCCTTGGAATTAACCTCTGTCTCCTTGGAATTACAGGTATGACCAGTTTGAAGTTTCCACCCAACTTTGAGGGATGCTAATTCCTTCTGCCAGATAATCAGGGAAGCAGCAAACTTCTAAAAAAGAACAGATTTCCACTGCTAAACGTCTGTCCTCAGCCCTTGCTAGGGTTTATTTGCACCTTAACTAACTGAAGCAGTGAAGAAATCCCTGGGAACGTGGGATTGGGCACACAGGGCTGGCACCCCACCTGCAGCAACAGCACAGGCTTCAGGTGCCCCAACCCCAAATACCTGCTGTGCTCCACTGGAGCAGAATGGAGCTGCTCCCCTGGGGAAGGAGCCCTGAGAGCTGGAGCTGCTCTGCTGCACCACAGGAACCCTGACATGAACCAGCTGGCACTGAGGCCTCAAGGCAGCAGTGCCTTTTAAAAGACTGATTGTAAAAAACACAAGGGAACAATCGTTTGTTATGGCTATAATAATCCTCTTAATGACAGAAGGGGATAGAACTACTGAAGCCTCTGAAACCAGCACAAGGTCCTGAGCAGAGCTGTGAGCTGCCCTGTGCCTGCAGTGCCCCTCGTGCAGGACTCTGTCATTTGACAGAAGCAGCTGCCCAGGTCCCCCTGGGCACACAGCCCCAGGCTGGCAGCAGGGCAGGTCTGAGCACAGCACAGCTGCCAGGCTCAGCCAAAGCCTGAGCAGAGCCAGCCGTGCCCCCGTGGTGCCAGGACACCCAGGAACTGCCATTTCTAACAAAGCTCCTGCTTCTTCAGGCAAATTTGCTTTTCAGGACAGTAAATACAGTACTTAGCATGGAATAGGATATGGGACAGAAATGCTGGTGCCATTTCCTGCTTGTGGGTGGCATGGCCTTAACTCACTCCAAGCAGAAATCCCATTGGTTTTACAGGGAAAGACTGCACCTTTTTATTCTAGACATGTTAATCACAATACTTTGGCTGGCTGTGACATTTTAAAAATGCATTCCACGTGCCCCTAATTGAACTCCTGTCAGAGTGCTTTATGGTATAATTCCTTTTAATTCCCTTCTGTCTGACCTAGCCTGAAGCCCAGCCTAGCCACGGGGCTCTGCTGCAGCTCAAAGCCTGGCTTGGCCCAGGCAGGGTGGGCAGAACAGCTCCCAGCCCACAGGTTAAAAACTCAGCCATTTGTCCCCAAAATGTCTTGGTCATTCTGCAGCTCCTTCACACTTCCAGGCCAGAAGTATTCTCTGCACATCTGGAAACAGCAGATGGGAATTGCTGAGACAAAAGTGTTTATCTTCCACCGGGAAAGAATTTACATTTTCATGTATAATGTTTCATCTAAGGAGCATCTGAGAGCCCCCTGGTCCTGCCCATCACTGGGGCATCAGGACTGAAGCAGGGCTGATCTCCAAGGCAGGTGAAAGCTACAGAACCACTGCAAGAGACATTTTAAAGGGGCTGGGGGAATCCCTCTGTCAGATACAGGAAGGAATTCCTCCCTGGCAGGGTGGGCAGGCCCTGGCACAGGTGCCCAGAGCAGCTGTGGCTGTCCCTGGATCCCTGGCAGTGCCCAAGGCCAGGCTGGACAGGGCTTGGGGCACCCTGGGACAGTGGGAGGTGTCCCTGCCATGGCAGGGGTGGCACTGGATGGGCTCTGAGGTCCCTTCCACCCCAAGCCATCCCAGGACTCTGTAGAATGCACACTCCTGAAAGGCTGGAAGGAAGGAGGGAGAGCTAACCTGCCACATGAGCCACGAAGGCCTGGCCAGGGGCAGCAGCAGAGGTGACTCAGTTGAAATGTCCCCATGGAGACAGAGCCTGACTCACCAGCAGCCGGGCAGGGCGGGGGCCCTGGCAGAGGTGATGCCATGGCAGGGCAGGGACAACTCCTCAAGCCTGGAAAGGTTTCAGTGGGAGCAAGGAGACACCCAGCCCAAGCTGGAGACAGAATTGCAGCCAGCCTTCCCTGCTGGGTGGTTTTCCCTCAAACAAAGCTGTGTTTGTTACCAGGAGGAACCAGGCCAGCCTCTGGTGAGGTAACACCGAGCACCTTGGCGGGCTGGCAGCACATCCTGCCTGCTTTCACATACAATAGGCAGCACTTGCTGCCAGGAAAAATGAAAGAATCAGCAGCTCTGCTCCAAAACAAGGGATCCAGAATTAGATGACAATTTCCCTTCAAAGAGGTTTGCTTTTCTAACACTCACCAAGACAAACTCCACAGAAAACACAACTCCAAGGTGTTTCAGGACCGAGTCACTCCTGCCTGTTTGACCTCAGGCTAATTTTTGAATGGAAACCAGCAGGACCCAAGGTAAACATCAACATTCTGAAGTGGGTTTCAACTGTTCAAAAATAACTCGGAGAACACGGTCAGGTGCTAGTCACCACTCACTCTCAGTATTAGTATTTAGGGAACACCACAACCAGCCACCAGCAGGACTTTTAGTTTGCCTCCTATTCTCATTTTTCACCCCAATTAAAAATGTAAGCTTCTGTGCATGCATTAATATTGATTTAACTGTAAATCTGGTGACCACAGATGTTTCAGTGATGCAGAAATCCCACCAAAGGCTGCTGTTCTGGAGCTCACCCACCAGCTGCAGCTCCTGTGCTCCCATCCTTTACAAGTGCTTTAAAAATGGTGCATCACCTCCAAACCATTTCAGTGATCCAAACACCTCAGAGCTGCACAACTACAGCCCAGGCCTCAGGGAGTGGGCAAAGAAAGATTTCTGCTGCTTTGCCTT